TGGATATGTGATACTCTTGCTCAGCCCAAGAAGCACCTTCGCGAACCATAGCGGCATAGTCTTTCATCCAGAGATCACGGGGTAGACAGGAGCGTTGGACGGCTTGTCTGAGGGAGGTCTTGGCGGGCTCGTCGAACGCGCGAAGTAGAAGGAGCCAAGCTTGGCGCTCGGAGAGATCGGCCTGGACAACTTCTTGGTAGAGGTTGTTGAGGAAAGATGTGATGCTTCGGTCGTCAGTACGGCCACGATAGGGGGTGTTGTTAGGCAGAGTAATACAGCGGACAACATTGAGATACTTAGTGGAAGTGGTGTCGTGCGCAGAGTCTGTACCCGAAAGGCTGAGATTGTCGGTGACAAGTAGACTAGGGGTCTGTGGTTGCCCGGGTGTGCTGAGGGGGATCTGTGGTGTTTGAGTGACGGCGGAAGGGGCCGCCGAAACACACGGGGTGGGCTTGTAGTAGGAGTGGAAAAGTTTGCGCATCTTGGCTCTGGTCGCAGGCGATGCCCCGTTGACGCGGAACTGGTCATCTAGGTCGGAGGTAGTGAGATATCGAAGGTTGTCGATAGAGTCAAGGCCGAGGAACTCGAGAAGAGGCCCGGGTTCTCCACCATGTGCCATGACTGATGCTCAACAGGAGGTAGATAGGGGTTAGGGGTTACACAACACGTGATTCCATGGACATTCCATGTTCGTGCGACATTAAGGAATCATGCAAGAGAGTAAGTGACCAAGGTATTGGTCAACAAAGTGATACTTGATTCCGGAATTGCAACCCGATTAGTGTATATGATATAGTTGAGACACTGCTGAGGGTCTATGGCTCGGCTCCAGATCACCAAACACAATTACCGATACTCTACAAGTGATACTTGATTCCGGAAGTGCAACCCGATGAGTGTATATGATATAGTTGAGACACTGCTGAGGGTCTATGACTCGGCTCCAGATCACCAAACACAATTACCGATGCTCTAGTAGTGATGCTTGATTCCGGAATTGCAACCCGATGAGTGTATATGATATAGTTGAGACACTGCTGAGGGTCTATGACTCGGCTTCAGATCACCAAACACAATTACCGATACTCTACAAGTGATACTTGATTCCGGAAGTGCAACCCGATGAGTGTATATGATATAGTTGAGACACTGCTGAGGGTCTATGACTCGGCTCCAGATCACCAAACACAATTACCGATGCTCTAGTAGTGATGCTTGATTCCGGAATTGCAACCCGATGAGTGTATATGATATAGTTGAGACACTGCTGAGGGTCTATGACTCGGCTTCAGATCACCAAACACAATTACCGATGCTCTACAAGTGATACTTGATTCCGGAATTGCAACCCGATTAGTGTATATGATATAGTTGAGACACTGCTGAGGATCTATGACTCGGCTCCAGATCATCAAACACAATTACCGATACTCTAGCAGTGATACTTGATTCCGGAATTGCAACCCGATTAGTGTATATGATATAGTTGAGACACTGCTGAGGGTCTATGGCTCGGCTCCAGATCACCAAACACAATTACCGATACTCTACAAGTGATACTTGATTCCGGAAGTGCAACCCGATGAGTGTATATGATATAGTTGAGACACTGCTGAGGATCTATGACTCGGCTCCAGATCACCAAACACAATTACCGATGCTCTAGTAGTGATGCTTGATTCCGGAATTGCAACCCGATGAGTGTATATGATATAGTTGAGACACTGCTGAGGGTCTATGACTCGGCTTCAGATCACCAAACACAATTACCGATGCTCTACAAGTGATACTTGATTCCGGAATTGCAACCCGATTAGTGTATATGATATAGTTGAGACACTGCTGAGGGTCTATGGCTCGGCTCCAGATCACCAAACACAATTACCGATAC